CTTTTCCAATCTGTCGAATTTCATCTCCTTAGTGAAAAATCAGTTCGACAAATCTGTCCAAAGAATTCGTACAGATAATGGGCGTGAGTTTTTCACTAGTGAATGCAAATCTTTTCTATCCTCTCATGGGATACTCCATGAAAGCTCCTGCACTTACACTCCCCAACAAAATGGGATTGTTGAGCGCAAACATCGACATCTCTTGGAAGTAGCTCGAGCACTAAAGTATCAAGCTTCGATTCCTGAAACCTTTTGGGGAGATTGTGTGATCACGGCAGCCTATTTAATCAATCGCATGCCAACTCGAATTCTTGAAGGTCGAACTCCTTTTGAGATGCTTTTTGGGAAACAGGCTGAGATTAATCATCTAAGAGTTTTTGGATGTCTATGTTATGCGACGACTGTGGGCCCTCGGGATAAAATGGATCCCCGTGCTCTTCAATGTGTTTTCATGGGATATCCCTCTCTGCAGAATGGTTACCGAGTTATGGAGATATCTTCAGGACGTTTTTTTGTAAGCCGAGACGTCATTTTCCATGAAGATGTTTTTCCATTCAAAGAACTCATAGCTCCGTCACGATCATCTGTCTCGTCCTTCGACCACAGACCATTTTTATCTGAAGATGATTTATCTGCGGCTCCTCAATACATCTACGTTGCACCAAAGCCACCTATGACAACTAGTACTGATCAAGCAATTGAATCTCCAATGTTATCATCTGAGGAGGATCATTCATCTATGGCATCCCCACCACCTATTATTGACGAATCTTCTTCAGTAGTTCCTGAACAAATGATTGCTGAGCCACCGCGTCATTCTGGACGTCAAGTTCGCCCTCCTACATGGACCAAAGATTATATATGTCATACATTGGATTCTTCAGGTACACATTATCCAATATCCTCATATGTTTCATTTAGCCAACTATCAGCAGAACACGTGTTGTATCAGTCGCATTTCTGAGGAACAGGAACCATCTTCGTACACGGAAGCAGTACATGATCCACGTTGGCAACATGCTATGGAAGCAGAGTTAAAAGCGCTTATGGAGAATAATACTTGGCATATTGTTCCATTACCCTCACATCGAAAACCCATTGGCTGCAAATAGGTATACAAGATAAAATACAAAGCAGATGGCTCCGTTGAACGCTACAAGGATGGCCTAGTTGCTAAAGGTTTCACACAACGAGAAGGGTTCGATTATCACGAGACCTTTTCTCCAGTAGCCAAGGAGGTAACTGTACGCTCCTTTTTATCCATAGCTGCTTTCCGCAATTGGCAATTACATCAAATGGATGTCCATAATCCTTTTCTACATGGGGATTTGGATGAAGAAATCTACATGGAGCTTCCACAGGGCTTACGAAGACAGGGGGAGTCTCGAGTGTGTCGTCTCCGTAAATCCCTGTATGGGCTTAAGCAAGCTTCTCGACAATGGTATGCCAAGTTTACTACTGCACTTACAAATGCAGGATTCCAGCACTCCAAATATGATTATACCCTATTTACATGGACCAATGGTACATCATCAATCTATTTATTGATATATGTTGATGATATACTTATCGTGGGAAGTGATGAATCTGCTGTTGAAAAATTCAAAGAATATTTGCAATCTGCTTTTCGGGTCAAGGATTTGGGACCTCCAAAATATTTTCTTGGCATCGAGATAGCTCGATCTGACAAGGGAATTTGCCTTAGTCAGGGAAAATTCATTTTGGAGATTATTTCAGAAACAGGATTGTCAGGGTGCAAACCATCTGTTATACCAATTGAGCAAAATGTCAAGTTAACGACATATGAATATAATGCGGGTTCATCTTCTAATAAAGATCCATTGCTTAAAGACCCGACAGGATATCAGCGGCTCGTTGGGAAATTGATATATCTCACCATGACAAGACCTGATATATGTTATGCAATACATATTCTTAGTCAGTTTATGCATAACCCGAAACAATCTCATATGAATGCTGCATTGAAAGTCGTAAAGTATTTGAAGGGATGTCCAGGACTTGGTATACTCCTATCTCGAGATTGTGATATGAAGCTGACAGCCTATTGCGACACAGATTATACCACTTGTCCAATGACCAGAAGATCTATCACTGATTTTTGCATCAAACTGGGAAAGTCATTGATTTCATGGAAGACAAAGAAACAATCAACCGTCTCATTATCGTCAGCCGAATTAGAATATCGAGCCATGGCGAAGACTGTTTGTGAAATAGTTTGGATACGAGGATTGCTCTCAGATTTTAGAGTGCAAGTTGATGGACCAAGCGAGTTATTTTGTGACAATGATGCCGCACTCAAGCTAGCAGCGAATCCGGTCTTTCATGAAAGAACGAAGCATATAGAGGTAGATTGTCATTTCACTCGTGATAAAATCCAGGAAGGAATACTTACGACTAGAGGAATTGGAACCATGGAACAACCTGCAGATATATTCACTAAACCACTTAAGACAACATACATATCTACTGAGCAAGCTTGGCGTTTTCGACATATACAGGCCGCCAGCTTGAGGGGGAGTGTTGGAGATATGATTGGAAATATAAAAGGATTTGATTGTGATATTGATTACGGAATAATTGATTCAGTTAATCCGTAATTGATTTAGTAAAATTGGAAATGTAATATTGTATATTGTTTTTCCTTTTTTTTTGTCTTTCCTTCTTGTACTATAAATTGCCTTGTGTACAAGCACATAAATCAGTGCAATACAATACAAATTCTCCAATATTTTTTATTTCTGTCACTATTCATGCGGGATAATTGGCCACTACACAAGTAGCACGAGTCAAGTCCATTCTGGAAACTGTTTTATAGGAAAGAATTCTCCGTGCCCGAGGAGGAAGAAATCATACCAGAGACACCAACACAAGCCGGTATGTTGGAGGATATATTACCTACCGAAATTGACAATCAACAAATGTCGAAGCCAATGAAGATTCAGCAAGTTGAGTCATCGAAACAGAAGGGAAAGGAATAGCTGATGTGGTAATGGCAGCAAGGGAAAAAGACAAAGGAACACAACTCTTGCTTTCAGACTCACCCTGGACCGAGATACTTTTCAAGAACCCCTTTGATTCATCCAAGAAAAGCATAATGGACCACAGAAACCCCAGCGACTAATGCGATGATACAATCCTTACATTTCCCAGGGGGCTAACTCTATGTTCCAAATGAAACTGAGCTTCTTGAAGGTTGAAGATGGATTAAAGGTATGGCCTTTGGTGGTAAGCCCCAATAAGTGAAAATTTTGAGCTGGAATTGTTAGGAGTTGGACACACCTTTGACATACACCTTTGACTTTCCAGGCACTGAGAGCACTTATGGCTCAAGAAAGGCTTGGTGTTGCGTTTCTGATGGAGATGGAGAATAAGCAGGAAGTAGTGAATCGTATGATACGTCATCTTCAGTTCTCGCATTCAGTAGTGGTCAATCCAATGATGGAGATGGAGAATAAGCAGGAAGTAGTGAATCGTATGATACGTCATCTTCAGTTCTCGCATTAAGTAGTGGTCAATCCAATAGGTATTGAGGTGGGGGGGGTGTTAGCAATCATGTGGAATGATGAAATGACAATGGAGGCGGTATCCATTACCCTTTTACAGGCGCTGACGGATTTTCATGAAAGGAGGGCATTATGTGAGAAGCTGAGATGTGTTCATTTATCAAACTCCTTTCTTGGATGTGTTTGGGGGATTTCAATGAGATTCCATATCATTGGAAGAAAGTCAAGAAAAAAGTTATAGACCATTACAAGTTACTTGCTTTCCGAAATTTTTTAAATGAATGTTGGTTCATAGATATCGAGAGTAAAGGTTGTGCTTTTACTCTGGCAAACAATAGAGAATGGGAGATCCCGATCACGAAGAGATTTGATAGCGCGCTTTGCAACATAGATTTAAGGGTTATGTATCCTAGTGTCGATGCGTTTGCATTATTGGCAATAGGTTCAATGACTTGCCGATTCTTCTTTCTCTAGATTCCAAGGCGGTGAAAAGAAGAAAAGTTTTTAAATTTGAGACATTTTGGTTGGAAGATGAGGAGTATAAGGAGACGATAGATTCGATATGGCACAATCCACCGATTAAAAATGAAGGTTTAATGGAGGATGCTGAAAAACAAAATTACTACAAAAAAAAATGGTTAATTTGTTAGGGCATACAAGTTAAGAATGCTGTGTCTTATCATTCATATTCGGACTTCATCTTTAAACAAATAACGGGAAAATTTCAAATAGGGGTCTAAAGTGCCCTCATTTTCTCATATAATAGCCTGAAGTGGACTTTCTTTCCAATAAGGGCTCGAAGTAATTATGTCAGTTTCAAAGAAATGTCAGACTTTTTTAGATGGTTAAGTGCATTTTCATCCTTTATCTTTTTTTTTAAATTTTTTCCCTTTTATTTCTTTCTTTTTTCCATTTTTTGGTTTTTTTATTTTCTTCTTCACTGGTAGCCGGTCTTAAGCAATGGCCGGCCACCGATGATGCCCGGAGTGGGTTGGCAGCCCTCGCCCGATTTGGCGAGGGTGCCTTGCATAGCGCCAACCCTTGCCCAAATCTGGTGAGGACCGTGGCCCTTGCCCCAACGGCAGACGAGGACTTGCAAAAGAAATTATAAAAAAAGAAACGAAAAAAATTAAAATTAAAATTATTTTTAGATAAAAATGTCATTAACTTATCGGAATATTTAATCAACCCGTGACCGTCGAGGTCAAACCCTTATTTGAGATTGACATGATCATTTTAGGTTCTTATTTGACATAATATTCGCTTCAAATTTTTATTTAAGAAAATAATGATATTTTAAGCCTTTATTTAGAATTTTTTTCCACAAATAATTGATAGTCACCGGCAACAAATATCCTGCGACTTTGAGTTGACTTGGGGGATTTGCCCGGACAGTCACTGCCGGTCAAAAATGAATCAGCCACGTAAACAATTTGAAATATCTTGATAAGAAAAACAATATATATATATATATATAAGACATTATTTGTTTTTACTAAAATTAGGTCAGTCAAACATGTCTCCCACGCTTCTCTTCACGCTCATTTTCCTCGTCTCCATCTTCGTCACCGCCCGACCCCAAGACGACGCGTCGTACTACGACCGATGCCGGCCCTTCGCCTGCGGAGACATCAACTTCTCCTTCCCCTTCTCCGGCTTTGCCACCTTCGGCACCGGCGGCCTCGACTGCAGCCTCCCCCGCTTCCAGGTCTCCTGCGACGCCTCCGACCACCCCGTCCTCGACCTCCCCGGCACTCCCTACCAGGTCCTAGCTCTCCACCCGGACAGCGAGGAGCGTATTATCACCGTCGTCAACGCCCAGCTCATCAAGGACCTGAAAGCCGGCTCTTGCGACTCCCTCCAGAACCTTACCGTCCCGAGCTCCGGAGTCAAGAACGCCAACCTCACGCTCCCTCCTCAGTGGTCCCTCAACCTCACCTTCTTCAAGTGCGACTCCGGCACCGCGCTCCCCCGGGAGCTCGCCAACTCGACGGTGGTGAACGCGAGCTGCAGAGACGCGGAGCTTTATCTGTGGATGAACACATCCATCGATCCGTCGGCCCCTTCCAATTACTCGTACGGGGGAGAGACTCCCGATCGATGTAGGCTCGTGGAGGTGCCTGTGTCCGATCACCTCGGAATATGGAGCAGTGAATTGACGAACAAGAGTAATAACGAGATTTGGAGCTTCGTTCTGGAACTGATGAGCGAAGGATTTCCTCTGGTCTGGTCCGCCATCCCGGATTGCGACAGCTGCGAACTGAGAGGCGGTCGGTGCGGATTCGACGCCGGTGCCGGAAAAGTCGTCTGCTTCTGCGGCGGCGGCTGTGGGTAAGTCATCTTTCTTTCTTTGTTTTTTTTTTTTGTGTCGTTTACTATTCTTATTTAGTGATTGAAAATTTCATCACGAAAGTACGTATTTGGAAGGAAAAATGATATAAATAGCCTTTGAATTTTTGTCCAAAGTATAATGTACTTTCTAAACTTTTAATTTATTCGATGTGGTCCATGAATCTTAACTTAATGTGTAATATGATCTCTGAACTTTTAATTTATTCAATTTGATCCCTGAACTTTTGGTACTTATTCGATTTAGTCCCTGAACTATATGAAAACGCTCAATGTAGTCATTCCACTAATTCAATATTAGAGATTACATCTTATGGACTACATTGAATATGTACCAAAAGTTCAGGGACCATATTGAACAAATTAAAAATTCAGAAATCACATTAAATACTAGGATAATGTGAATTAAAAGTTTATGAACCCCATTGTACATTGAGTCAAAGTTCATGTTCATGGATCCCATTGCATATTGAACCAAAGTTTATGAATCATTTGTGTCATTATTCTTTTGGAACAAATAAAAGTTTCCCAAATTTTGACGATGAAAACTCCCCAGAAATAAAAAAAATGAAAGAATAATTCAAGATTAATTACATTATGAATAAAATGGCCAGGCGTGCTTTCATGATTTAACGTCGGAAGTGAAACTTAAGTCATCGTCCAAAAGTTGTAGCATCCATTAATCTTAAACATAAGTAGCTTCAAACTAACCAACAACTAACAATCCTGATACAAGAGCTTCATCGCAACAATTAACCAATATCACATTACATTTCAGTAAAATAATATGTGTAGCACAAATTCATACTCGAGCCAAATATGTGCTGAGCAAAAAGAAAATTCAGAAGTAAGCCACTCGTCGCGAAGAACAAGCGATTAAACAATAAAATAAATAAAATGAGTAAATAAATCAGACACTGAGTTTACGGGATTCAATCAACGTGACTATTCCACGCATAGAGCCGCATGAGATTCTACTATAGATCAAGTGATAGTAAGGGGATTATAACCACACTCAAGTCACTCAAATATTTTCGGTATTTACTACTCCCAATCACGTTCAATAACTCGGAGTGGTTAGCCGTCACGATTTCTCGCAAAACAATTTCTTAATGTTACCAAGAAATTCACAATCTCACCACAATATTTATTGGCATCAAAGCACTTGCAATTTCTTTGGGATGTAGTTCATGAGCGTAGTGCACAGTTGATTGTTACGGTCAAAAGCTCCTCTTTAAAACCAAAACGCACCTCTTATATATATAATGTTTGGGAAACTTACCGAGTTAATTCTAAACTTATTATACGAATGTCAATTCAATTCTAAACTTTTCAATTTTGTCAGTATAGTCATTATGTGCAATTTCAATGTAATCTTTCCGGTCAATTCCCATCGAAAGTCATTGACTTGGCACTCCACAAGTTATCCATGTTAGCGTACCACGTAGGACGGTCGACCGACATGACCGGACACTATGTTAGTAATTTCCAGCGGTAAATGGCAAGAAGAACTATATTGAAATTTCGAGTAAAAATTTAGAACTATGTTGGCAAAATTAAAAAATTTAGGACTGAATTAACATCCGTATAATAGGTCTATGATTAATTTGAAAATTATCCCTATAATGTTTGGATCCGAACAGGAAACTCTTTTAGCCAATTCAAAAAACCTACTCAAACTAGAAATCCAACTCCAACAAAGATTTGTTGTTGCTTCATATGTAGCAAAGTCCAATCAAAACTTTCTTAATTTTAATCGCAAGTCCTATAATGACTTAAAATTTATAATTCTCTTCACGAGCTGAAGTTCGAGACATATTTTCAATGCAACATTCAATTCTGTTTCTCCGCACAGCCATCCTGTGACTTAAATATACAGATGTATACAGTGTGCAGCAATGGCTGTTGCTACTGCCTCTTTATGTGGCTATTGGAAGTTGAACTTCATCGCTTCCCTCCAAATGAAATCCTACAAAGTACTTTAGCAGAAAAAAAGAAAAAAGAAAAGAAATCCTAGCTAGTACTCATTTCCTTTATCTGACCTTTGCAGGAAGCCAGACAAGACCAAACTCATTATTGGTATGCACATTTACTTCATCGCTTCTGAAGTTTTAGACTCTAGAGTTAAGTTGGACTTGGAAGGAGCATTACCTTAATATTCAATATGATCGCTGATACACTGTTGTTGCTTGAGGTATTTGTATTTGAATGCATAAATATTCATTTCGGTTTTCGCTGGCAGACTATACAAAGTCGAGGATAAAAGAAATTTTGGAAGCTAGACAAGGATTATCAGCAATTACGTATCTGCACATTCTGAATTCTGATGATATATTATTTTCATTGGGTGGTTGGTTTCGCCTGTGCCTATTGAAAAGCTACAGACCATGCTTGGTTATAGGGATTCTCAAGGAGCAATGGCGCTGTATTATGTTTTAGTTGTCCTCTCGTAAGAACCCGAACTTGCTTGTCAGCTTCTCATCGACATGATATGCTTGAATGTCCTCTGAAAACTAATCGTCTTCATCACTTTGCAAAAAGATTATTGGTTGTCCATTAAGCTATTCAGTCAGTGCATGATTTGCAGGTTGTGCATTGGGAGGCTCTTCTCTTGTGCTCGTTATGACCTTACTATTCATTTTTAAGAAAAGAAGTTTGCCAATTCAGAAGACATCCTGTTTTGGCAAAGACGAAGCTGCAGAAGAGACGGCAAATGCAGAGCAATTCATAAGAACTTATCAGTCAACCTTATTGACCAAGTATTCATACAAGGACGTAAAGAAGATGACCAACACCTTGAAGGAGCGATTGGGTGAAGGTGGATATGGTACTGTCTACAAAGGAAAGCTGCCGGACGGGCGACCCATCGCCGTCAAAATGCTCGACAAGTCCAGCAACAACAGCCAGGAGTTCATCAACGAAGTTGCAACCATAGGCACGATTCACCATGTTAATATTATCCGTTTGCTCGGTTTCTGTTTGGAAGGTTCCAAACGAGCTCTAATCTATGAGTACATGCCTAACGGGTCTTTAGGAGATTTGCTGCATAAAGAAGGGCCGAACCTTTCTTTAGCAATGGAAAGACTGCTCGAAATTGCTATAGGGGTTGCCCTTGGGATTGAGTACTTACACAAGGGTTGTGCCTCGCGGATATTGCATCTCGACATAAAGCCCCATAATGTTTTGCTCGACGAGAATTTCAACCCAAAAATCTCTGATTTTGGGTTGGCGAAAATATACTCCAGGAATAGAAGTTTCATAACCATGACAGGTGCTAGGGGGACGATTGGGTTCATTGCTCCTGAAATATTCATGAGAAATCTGGGAAATCCTTCTCATAAGTCCGATGTCTACAGCTTCGGAATGATGTTGCTCGAGATGGTTGGTGGGAGGAAGCATGAAGAAGTGAAGGGGACTGCATCGAGTGAATCTTATTTTCCAGGTTGGATATACGACGAAATTAATGAAGAAAGAGCACAGGAATTTGGCGATCTCGTGGAAGAAGAAGTTGCTGTGTCAAGAAAGATGGTTATGGTGGGTTTGTGGTGCATTCAAATTAATCCAAAGGATCGGCCCTCGATGACGCGAGTGTTAGAAATTAAACCAAATTTGTTAGTACTTGTTTCCTTTTTTAGTCTGTTCGTATTTCCATATTTCGATAGATATTGTGAGATATTGTTTCTAGTTATATTTTAGGAAAGTTTCCTAAGTCAATTAGATTTCCTAATTAGAATAGGTTTCCTAGAAAGAGGTTTCCTATTTCGAATCAAACTATGATCTATATATAGTCTATTTCTCTTGTAATTGAGACATGTAATAGAAAGACGCGAATTGCGATTGTTTCACCTTCAAAAATTCCTTTCATCAAATCAATATTGTTGCCACGCCTCTAACGCTTAACAAATTGGTATCAGAGCTTACGGTTCGTGATCATGGCCTCAACGAACAATCAGCTTCCTCTTCAATACTCTCGTCTTACCAAAGAAAATTATGGTAACTGGGCTGTTAGAATGAAAGCTCTACTCGGCGCCTACGGTGTGTGGGAACTTGTTAACACTGGCTATGATGAGCCAGAGGATGAAGCCACGTTGAACCAGAATCAGAGGAATGCCTTGGAGAAGGCTCGAACGAAAGATCAATATGCCCTGTCGATCATCTATCAAGCGTTAGATGATTCCATGTTCGAAAAAGTTTCGAACGCCACTACCGCTAAAGAGGCATGGGAGATTCTTCAAAACACACATCAAGGAGTTCAGAAAGTTCAGAAGATTCGCCTTCAAACCTTGAGAGGTGAATTCGAGGTAATTCGTATGAAAGAATCTGAATCGATTGTTGATTATTTCACGAGAATTTTGGCAATTGTTAATCAGATGAAAAGAAACGGAGAAGAAGTTTCCGATGTTCGTGTTGTTGAGAAAATACTTCGGTCCTTAGACAAGAAGTATGATTATATTGTGGTTGCAATCGAAGAATCCAAAGACTTGGATGCCATGACGGTCGATGAACTTATGGGTTCATTACAAGCCCATGAAGAAAGGTTTAGAAAGAAAAAGATTGAACCGGTGGAGGAAGTTCTCCAAACACAGTTGACCATACGAGATGAAAAGGAGCAAAGAAGAGATCCCGTACAAAATCGCGGGACAAATCAAGATCATGATCGAGGTCACTTTCGAGGAAGAGGTCGCGGACGAAGCAGAGGAGATCCTGCTCGAAGTGATGGAGGATACCAGTACCAAAGAGGTATTCGTGGAAGAGGAAAGAACTCGATAAGCCAATGGTATGATAAATCTAAAATCCGATGTTATCAATGCAATAAACTTGGCCATTATGCTTCTAACTGCTGGAACAAAGAAAGTAGCAGAGCAGACGAAAAGGCGAACTTGGTGAATGATGCTGATCAAGTTGTCTTATTGGCATTCAAAGAATATGAAGAAGGTCAAAGTGATACGTGGCATTTGGATACCGGCGCAAGCAATCACATGTGTGGGAGAAAGGAGATGTTTGCCGAGTTAGATGAGACAATTAAAGAGAATGTCTCATTCGGTGATAACTCTAAAATTCTTGTTGAAGGGAAAGGTACAATTTTGATTCGCTTAAAGAATGGTGCACGTCAGTTTATTACTAATGTTTATTATGTTCCAAAAATGTCAAGCAATATCTTGAGTTTGGGACAACTTCTGAAGAAAGGTTATACTGTTCATATGAGAGATCTTAATCTTATGTTGAGAGATCAGAATAATAAATTGATTGCAAATGTGAAGATGTCGAAGAACATGATGTTTATTCTTAATATAAAGAGTGAGATGTCTTGATGTCTAAAGACGTGCGTAGATGATCCTTCATGGTTGTAGCATTTGAGGTTTGGCCATCTCAATTTTGGCGGACTCAATTTGCTTTCTCGCAAGAAGATGGTTTATGGCTTACCACATATTGATCATCCCGATCAATTATGTGAAGGGTGTGTTATCGGCAAGCATTCCAGAACTAGCTTTCCGAAGGAGGCGACTTGTCGAGCGAAGAAGCCGCTTAAGTTGATTCATTCTAATTTGTGTGGCCCGATCAATCCTCACTCATATGGTAATCATCGATATTTTGTTACTTTTATTGATGATTTTACTCGAAAAACTTGGGTGTATTTTTTGAAAGAAAAGACAGAAGTGTTTGATATTTTCAAACAATTCAAGAACCTGGCTGAAAAGGAAAAATCATGGTATTCGGCGTTTCTTAACGGCCTCATATTCTCCTCAACAAAATGGTGTGGCTGAACGGAAAAATAGAACCATTCTTGATATGGTTCGAAGTATGTTGAAGAGCAAAAATTTGTCAAAGGAACTTTGGGCAGAAGCTGTTTCGTGTGCCGTCTATCTTCAAAATAGATGTCCAACATATGGACTTGAAGGCGTAACTCCACAAGAGGCATGGACCGGGAGAACACCAAGTGTTTCGCACTTGAGAATTTTTGGGAGCATTGCATATGCTCATGTCCCGGATCAAAAAAGATCGAAACTTGAAGACAAAAGCAAAAAGCTCATCTTTATCGGGTATGACTCATCATCCAAAGTCTATCGATTATTTGACCCTAACACTTTGAAAGTGTATGTAAGTAGAGATGTCAAGTTCGATGAAGATGGAATGTGGGAAGAAAATCTAAAAGAAGAAGCGAATGTTCGTGATGATTCCGATCAAACGGAGTTGAAAGATCAACCTTCACCTTCTTCTCCAACATCTTATTCAAGTTCATCAACACTATCCTCTTCAAATAGTGTCGATGAACCGCTAGTGCCAAGATCAAGAAGATTGTCTGAAATTTACGAAGCTACCGAAGAGCTTCATCTTATATGTCTTCTTGCAGATTATGAACCACTTGCTTATGATGATGCGGCCAAAGAAGAAAAGTGGAGGAAAGCCATGAACGAAGAAATTAAAGCCATCGAGAAAAATCAAACATGGGAGCTTGCTAATCTTCCAAAGGACAAGAAATCAATTGGTGTTAAATGGGTGTACAAGGCCAAGAAGAATGAGAAAGGTGAAGTAACAAGGTACAAAGCTAGATTAGTAGCGAAGGGGTACAAGCAAAAAGCCGGAATCGACTATGATGAAGTTTTTGCCCCTGTCATCCGCATGGAAACGATTAAATTGATTATTTCCATTGCTGCTCAAAATAATTGGCGGATTTATCAAATGGATGTCAAATCAGCATTCTTGAATGGCATCCTTGAAGAAGAAATTTATGTCGAACAACCCGAGGGGTTTGTTGTGAAAGGTTATGAAGACAAAGTGCTAAGGTTGAAAAAAGCTCTATATGGGCTTAAACAAGCACCGAGAGCATGGAATTCCAGAATTGATGCATATTTCAAGGCGAATGGATTCTCTCAATGTCCATACGAGCATACACTCTATTTGAAGCAAGAAAAAGGTGATATTCTACTCGCCTGTTTATATGTTGATGATCTTGTTTTTACAGGAAATAATTCGGCGATGATTGATGCTTTTAAGGCATCGATGGTGAAAGAATTTGAGATGACCGATAATGGTCTCATGAATTATTTCCTTGGTATCGAAGTGAAGCAAAGTGCCGATGGGATTTTTATTTCTCAAAAAGGATATGCAGAAAATATCCTTGAAAAATTCAACATGAAGAACTGTATGCCGGTCAATACACCAATGGAGTGTGGAACCAAGCTTTCGAAGTTTGATGATGGTGCCGATGTTGATTCGACATATTATAGAAGCTTGATTGGGAGTTTGAGATACTTGACATGCACGAAACCGGATATTATGTATAGTGTTGGAATTGTTAGTCGATACATGGAGAAGCCGAAATCATCTCATCTTAAAGCTGCAAAGAGAATACTTCGGTATATTAAAGGTACTATTTCTCGTGGTTTACACTATTATTGCTCTGAATCTTTCAAACTTAGAGCTTATTCGGATAGTGATTATGGTGGAGATATCGACGATCGAAAAAGCACCACGGGATTTGTATTTTTCTTGTGTGACACTGCTTTCACGTGGTCATCAAAGAAGCAATCAAGTGTTACTCTGTCGACATGTGAAGCTGAATATGTAGCTACATCTTCATGCGTTTGTCATGCAATATGGTTGAGAAGACTACTCAAAGATATTCTTATGGAGCAGAAGAAAGCAACGGAGATTTTTGTTGATAATGTTTCTGCTATTGCTTTGGCGAAAAATCCAGTTTTTCATGAACGAAGTAAACATATCGATGTTCGATATCACTTCATCCGAGAACAGGTTAAAGAGAATGAAGTTGAAGTATTGCATGTGAAGACCGGAGATCAAGTAGCAGATATTTTTACTAAACCTCTCAAGATCGATGCTTTTCGAAAGTTCAAGAGCCTGCTTGGAATGATCGATGGAAGAGAATTTGGTTTAGGGGGGAGTGTTAGAAATTAAACCAAATTTGTTAGTACTTGTTTTCTTTTTTAGTCTGTTCGTATTTCCATATTTTGATAGATATTGTGAGATATTGTTTCTAGTTATATTTTAGGAAAGTTTCCTAAGTCAATTAGATTTCCTAATTAGAATAGGTTTCCTAGAAAGAGGTTTCCTATTTCGAATCAAACTATGGTCTATATATAGTCTATTTCTCTTGTAATTGAGACATGCAATAGAAAGACGCGAATTGCGATTGTTTCACCTTCAAAAATTCCTTTCATCAAATCAATATTGTTGCCGCGCCTCTAACGCTCAATAGCGAGTGCTGGAAATGTTGATGGGCAGCTCGAAAAGCATTCCAATGCCTCCCAAGCCGCAGTTCTTTTCTCCTCCTCGTGCGCAAGCCGTGCCTGGAAGTTCTTCCACAGATGTAGACGCTAGCGTTTTACCTCTCACACTTGACAGTCAAGAAATGTAGCTAATTGGCAGGGTGATTTATCTCTGTGCCAAAGCATATTTGAGAATGGCATATGATAGTGTCATGGACCGAAGTGATGCAGGAGTTCTCTTGTACTCGTATGCCCTTGTGAGGGGAGCTAGGGGCGTCGTCATGAAGAGTAAGTAATGCAAAATGGAAGATACAACTTGTTCGTAGGAGGTGGTTTGTGTCGGGAGTTTTAGGATAGAAAACTTATACTCTTGGGAGCTCTCAAGGCGGGGTTGGCCTCCCGTGCACAAACTAATCGAGAATTGATGCTGCTTTTCTTATGAGGCCATGGCAAGCCAAAATCAGTTATTGTGCCTAATGTATTCTGCATGTTTCACTCGAGAGACTGGATGTTCGAGTTAAGCTGGGCGTGGTACGATCCAATATAAAAATATTGTTTGCTATAATGTTCTCTAGAACAACTATAGAATGAAAGATTGGTATAGTGTTATCTCGACTCGCCAGGTGCTGCATGGGCAATTTCACGGCTAAGGAATTGCCGGCCCATAACAATAGCACATAAGGATGACATGGGATGTGAGATAGGTTGGAGACTGGTCCTTTATGTTCCAATGCGAATATAGGCATCGACATAGGATAGAAAAGGAAGGATTGAAGGAAGTTGCAGAAAAGAAAGTGAGGTCTGTATGGGCCACACCAGAAACCTCAATGAAAGATCTTTCTCTGTGTACGCTTCTGCGCAACACTGAGGGGGACTCTATGTAAGTAGAACTCAACACGTACAAACATCCAAATTTGATTGGACAACTGTTCTAAGATGGAACTATGCAGCGATTCGCCCTTATTGTGTAAGATTTGCAGACATTAGACAATTGATTACTCTCCTCAATAAAGTATGAGTTCATTTAGGACATGAATATCATCTCCGGATCTACGACCTAAGGCACGATCAGATAAGACCACGAGAGAGTTAAGCTACTCCGAGTCACTTGAGCTCAGCTCGATTTGTTTCGAATTCGAGTAGCTCGAGCACTTACTCGTGTAGTGCTCAAACTATCATTATTTCCCAAGCATGATCGAAGTGCATCGGTTGGAGTCGAGTGAAGCTTGAGAATTTATGATCGACAAAGCTCCCATTTAAGTTTCAAGTGTATAAACGAGACTCAATGATAATAATCAACTCAAGCCACAGTAAAAACTCTGCGACTCCACTGGATCACTGCCCTTGATCAGAATTTCTACTTTACTTTTAAGTCGATCCAAGCAGATGAAAGTATTTGTCAAGGAAGCTTCTTTTCGACCAAAAAAAAAAAGGAAGCTTCTTCAGTATGGTTATGAAGGATCTCATCCATCAACTAGGGTTGAGTCATCCCAAAGTCAAGAAACTATGTACAAGAAAATAATTGTGCAAGCTTCTCTCCCAATCTCGTCCTTAAAGTTCTAATCCAATGCACTTTCCGGGTCTTTCAGGGATCTTTGCAAATGGAAATTCGCTCACGAGAATCTTGAGTAATCATATCTGAATGAAAAATATTTATCATTGGATCAAATTATACCCTAGTAACTCCGTATGAAGAAAAAAAAGTGGAGAAAATCACACCCGACGGTTACTCAACTTTTCAACTTACTTTCATATTGGCCCTCCCACTTTCAATTTTAAAGTATAGATCGACCAATTATGATTTTATTTTCAATCAAGCCATTATCTATCGTGTGACCAAAATTTCCTTTGAAATCCAACGACATAACTTGTGCCGTACCACTTATTTTACTCTTACATTGACGTATAAAATGACATCATGGATGTATCCAACCCGATCAAACTCTCGACGTTTATAACTCTCGTTAGAACTCACACAATTTTAAGGACTTCTCCCTCGACTGTTTTTTTCAAATTTCGAAAACATCCCCGCACTTACAGGGTGGTCGGTATCATTGCTAATTTAACAATAGCAGGAAAAAATAGAAATTATATTGTCAATATTTTTCTAATAAAAAGGCGGAATTACAATGCTTTCAAAAGACGTAACATCCCTTCAATATCATCCTCGGCCAAAAGTAGAGAGAAGACATCAATCTCGTACCAAAGTGATTGTCACGTTTCTCATTCGCACGGTAAAGAAAGCCAAAACTGAAATAAGCACTCTCCGTTTTTTTCTTTGTCCTTTTCTTTTTGACTCCGCAATCGTCAATCGATAAGCTATTATCGATTTCTACCCGCACCAGAAAAATCTTCATCCGTTTTCACTGATTCGGTTCGTTTCGCGGTCAAATTTCATGTTTGGTTTTTTTTTTCTTCCACCGAGAAAAGAGCGATTCTTGTTTTCTCGGCCTCGGTCGTACTTCGTTCCGGGAAGGCACTGAAATTCCTCATTTTTATTTTGTGTTTTGGGGGGGAGCTTGTTGACCCTGAATAGCTCGACTTGAAGATTAGGGATCGTTGAATTATTCCAAGAAACTTGCAGATTCATATCTACAGTCTGCTGTAGAGAGAGAGAGAGAGAGAGAGAGATGGGGTCGAAGGTCGAAGGTCCATCTGCACCGGCAATCAGGCGAGACCCATATGAGGTCCTATGCGTATCGAGGGATTCCACCGACCAAGAGATCAAATCTGCTTATAGAAAGCTTGCCCTCAAGTATGTTTTGCTTTCTTGTCTTGTTCTTTTTCTTTTTCCCTTAGATTTTCCTGCCAAATTCATAAGCTTTTGTCGCTGAACGTTTGTGGGTGTCTGCAAGAACTTTGTTTTCTTCTTGCGATTTGCTGTGTTGCTTGGTTAATGTACGTATCTGGTTCTTGGAATCTGTAATGGTCCGTTTGGGTTCAGCTAGTGTTTTAGTGTTTGTCGAGCAAGATTAGGCGTCTGAATGCTGAATGGGTTTCGTGATTGCATCGGGTATGAGATCTTTGAAAATGGATGCTGTTCTTATTGTTTTCTGGAGTTTATGAGGAAGCTCTGTGCACTTGTGAGAGAAACTATCTTTCTGGGAAGCTCTAGCAACGAGTGCTTTTCTGTTGATCTTGTTTTGAAGTATCTGACGTGCCACAGATATTATTCCAGTGAGCGATATGCGGGTGAGTGGTTTAGATGCTTAAGCGATTATGTGCACTTTGTTGTTCAACGGTGATGGAGTTGTCCAGGTACACAGTTGTTTGAAGTAATTCACTATGACGGGTAGGATTTCAACAGATAAATGTGCACATTCTTAGTTGTCATGTTGATTGTGTTATTATGGTAGCTGTGACTGATTTCGATGCAGTCTTGGTAATTACAATTTTTCATGGGCAGGTATCATCCTGACAAGAACACCAATAATCCTGAAGCTGCAGAGCTTTTTAAGGAGGTTGCGTATTCTTATAGTATCTTGTCTGATCCAGAGAAAAAAAGGCAATATGACAGCGCAGGATTTGAGGTGTGTTCTTCTAATTTACTATATGCCTTGTCATGAGATTTAAAACTCTGCCTGTGCGTGTATAATATAACACCAAAGTAATATCATGTGGATGAGATATATGTTTTTTGGGGAGAGAGATCTTTTACTTGTATGTTTGAGAGTAAAACGGAAATAAATTTGTTAATTTGCATTTGTGTGGTCAAAGATTGATTCAAACTTGTTAGTTGCTGTTTTCTGATACCTTCAATGCTGTAAATCTAGCTTTAGAGGCACTTTGGAAATTTCAGGTCTTATTTTCTTTATTAAGTGGTGTACTTGATACAATCCAGCTCTGACAAGTGATCACCTGAATCTGAAACTGGAACCATAGAGGACAACTCCGTCTGTTCAATTGTCTGATGAAACCGTGCTACATATTCCTTATAGGATGGCCATCTGTCAGTTGGAGTTCAAGAGTTTTCATCTTGCCGATGCATGTGTCAATGTTATGATATATAAAATATCTTCTCTTTTTCTCTAATTTTCACATTTGCATCTGATGTTTTTATCAAAGGACTTGCTTGTGTCAGGTCCTTCATTGCCCTTGTACTGATTTTGTTGTTTTAATGCTACAATGCATCAGTATGACTTTGTTGCTTTTTCCAAATAATTGCATCAGGCACTTGATACTGATGGTTTGGATGTGGAAATTGACTTGTCTAACCTGGGAACTGTCAATACAATGTTTGCAGCATTATTCAGGTAAAGTTTCACTTGAACATTACTTCTTCAGTTATGTGCTATCTCCTGTCTCACTACTATTTTATAGCAAGCTTGGCGTGCCTATCAAAACATCGATCTCCGCCACTGTTCTTGAAGAAGCTATGAATGGTACAGTGACAATTCGACCCCTTCCAATTGGGACTTCATTTAGTGGAAAGGTGCTTGTCCTGTCCCCATGAGGAAACTTTCTCATATGTCAATTGCATAGTTGTCAATTCAAAAAAGAAGTGTATCCTCCTTCAGGTTGAAAAGCAGTGTGCCCACTTTTTTAGTGTAACAATCAATGAGCAACAGGCTGAGGCGGGATTAGTGGTCAGAGTTACATCCACAGCTCAGAGCAAATTCAAGGTACCTAAAGTGTCTCCAAGGATGTCCTATATTTTCATTAACTATTGTAAACATCTTCCTTTCCTGTATAGCTGGGGGAAAAAATTAATGGCACATTTGCTGTCTTCTTCTGTATATATCCAGCTACTTTACTTTGAACAAGATGCCAATGGTGGTTATGGGTTGGCCTTACAGGTAACTTAATCCCCAATTTGCCTCTTGTCAAATCTGCTGCTGTCATTAGTTAAAGAACTGCCATTAGCATATTGGCACAATACTTGTTGCAGTCTTCAGCAATCTTAAAATGGAATTGTGTTCTTGAAATTAGACTACATGAAAATCATACAAGCAAGATAGATTGCATCATCACGGGTTTACATCCACTTAGACTCACTATAGTAAGGATTATCACTCCTTTGTACCTTGTCAGCACTACATAGTTCATACAGTTACTGATGGTTCGTTTCTTTAAATATAGGAAGACTGTGAAAAAACGGGCAAGGTGACATCTGCAGGAATGTATTTCTTACATTTTCAAGTGTACCGAATGGATTCGACTGTGAATGCGGTATGTTAGCTTTGTTACCTTTTCCTGTCCTCTTCTTTTTGTTTTCAATATACACTTCTTTTTCTGTCATGGCTGAACAAATCGTTATCATTATCATTGTGCAGTTGGCAATGGCAAAGGACCCTGAAGCTGCTTTCTTTAAAAGGTTGGAAGGACTTCAACCTTGTGAAATTTCACAACTCAGAGCTGGAACCCATATATTTGCTGTTTATGGTCAGATTAATTTTCGTTTTTCCTTTGTTTCAATAACTTCAGTAATTCACGGATTTTTCCCTTGATCTCTCTCTTTCTATGAGGGGGAAAAACATTACAAAGTAATTTTTGTGGACCTATCTTACTGACCTACCCTGAATTTTCCAGGAGACAACTTCTTTAAGACAGCTTCCTATACAATTGAGGCTCTTTGTGCTAAGACATATGAGGATACCTCACAGAAGCTCAAGGAAGTTGAGTCTCAAATTTTGCGGAAAAGAAGTGAGTTACGACAATTCGAGACTGAATACAGAGCGGTATCACTTGTTGCCTTTCTATTTACTCGTCTTTGGAGCTAGGCTATAAAGATCTCGTCTTTTACAGAGACCATGCTTTTGTAGGCATTGGCACGCTACCAAGAAGTGACCAACAGATACAGTCAAGAGAAACAGTCTGTAAGTTCCTTTAGCCCATTATAGAGTCATACTCCTTGATTCCCATTTGGAGAGTCTTGAGACACCTTGTCTCTCCATGATTAAACTTTTTCATGCCTATGATTGGGCACACGGGGCTCGATATGCATCATTGTGCAATTAAGCTCATGCAACACTTTGAAACTGGTATCTCGCATTCATTCATGCAATGTGTTCCTCCTTACATATGGTGGGAGAGGAGGATTGTAGAAGCGCATTCATTCTTCACAAGATAAATCTTTTTTATCCAAATAGACAATAGTGAAGAATGAAGTAAATGACACGTAGTAATAATTAAATTAAAAAAGTTACTTAACAAAGCAATATTACTTCATGCCTAAATCTTTTCATAATGGATAGAATAACTAATTTTGTGAAAAATTAAATCATGAAATTTTCTCTAATAATTGTCGCTTGTCTAGCGATTCAATGCACAAAAGGGCATTATGCCGGAACAATTGTGTAAGTATGTAATTTAGAGAGAGAAGAAATATTTTTTATTGCGTAAAGGGAGAGGAAAGGAAAAGAAAAGAAATTAAAAAATCCACCTTTGACCCTACCAAACTTGATTCATGAGTTGGACGAGTATCAACAAAACGAAACTTTAAAACCATCCTTTATAGTAAGATCAGTGGGCTCGGTGCATCTTTGATTCTGCTTCTCTGATCGTTTCTTTTTCCTTTGAGTTTTGAGTTTGAACATTAAACGGATTTATGATCGGTAACGATCGGTCCGGTCAATTTGCTTGATCATTGCAGGTAGATGAGCTGCTGAAGCAACGAGATTGCGTCCATTCTTCTTTCACCGTATCGAGGGGGTTAGCTAGTACTAGTGGGAGTGCTGGTCACATGAATAACGGAAGCACCGCCGAGAAGGTTTCGAGCGAAGACTCGAAGGCAGAAAGTCCGGGGGAAGACGGAACCGCCGATGGGAAAGATAAACCCGCCAAAAAGAAATGGTTTAATCTCAACGTGAGAGGATCCGACAAAAAGTTTAGTGAAAAAGATACTTAGATGGCATACTATCGTCCGAGAGGGTTCGGTATTCAGATTGCACCCTTTTGAGCCCTCACATATGTAATTCTCACATTCTTTTGAGGGGCTTGCTATTCCTTGTTCACTATAGCTTGTGTGCTGGTTTCGCAATGTATTGTATTAGTTGAGCCAAATTTTGTAAGGTGAAGAGGAGGGAGTGATGAATTTTGCATCCTTGTATCAGATCTATTCATAGGACGAGCTACCTTTATTATACATTCATGCCGCGAAGGTGACGTAAGATTTTTTGTCCTGTTTTCTCGTTTATTTCTGTTAGTTTTGATGAACATGGCTTTGTTTATTCTTATTTTTGTCAAATTAAGTGCGCAGCTGATTAATTTTAATCATTTTGTTTTGGTTGAGAGATTGATGATAGTTTTGGTCACCATATCTAGATCGATGCCAGTTCTTTCATACACGTGAATGTTGTATGACAGAAGTACTTCAAAACGTGCAAATTGGATACAAGTAAAATAGGGCGGTTCAGTCCTAGCTATGATATTATTCATAAGAAATTTGAGATTAAAAGTATACGATTGGTATTTTGTAATTTGCGAATAATTCTGACACGAGAATAAACCTTTAGAGTATATCGACAAGACTTTTCCAAATGATCACGTTAAATCTTAAATTTAGAAATGTTGGCCATGATATAATATTATATTAACATAACATGTGATATCGGCATTCGATATTATAATTTTTTATTCACGTGCATTTCATTCACAGTGTCATTCTGACAAAATGGTTGTTCCTAAGTGAAAATAGTGTGTTACTCCAAATGTGAGCGATCTAAAATCAATGCACGTGCTCTCTAAATCTCACAAATTGCATGCAAATTACTATAGATCAAAATGGGTCAAGACCAAAATGGTCAAAGGTATGGTCTTAACCCATTTGTGGGGCTTGCAACGTACATTATGGAGGGACTGGATCTCTGTTCCCATGCCCCTAGGCCATTAGAAAAAATGGTAATGGCACAAATGATTCATGAACTTTGATCTAATGCAGAATGCTGTCTTTAGACTTTTAATTTGATCAATATGTTTCCTAAAATATTGATAAATGTATAATGCGGTTCTTCCATTTGCTCAGCTGACATATCAAACGTTATTCGATGACATAGATTATTATATGCTGACTTGGATTTTTAAAAATGATAAGTCAACATGTCTACCTTTTTATTCATCTAATTTTAAGAAGGAAAAGAAAAATTAAGGCGTTAACATCTCCATCATTAGTCAATAACATGGATTATTATATCGTGATTTGAATGAATATCTTACTTGGATAATCAACGTTAAATCTCTTTGTTGTCCATCATTCAAGCTTAAATGATTGTAAGCCACATCAGTAGATAACGTTAATTTGAAATAACGAAAAATGATGACATTAAACATTTTTATATAGTTTAGGAATTAGAATGAATATTTATTGATAGTTCAAGGATACATTGAATAACTTAAAAGTCCAAAGGCGATATTGTACATTAAACCAAAGTTTATGATTATTTATATCATTTTTTCTTAGAAAAACAATGACCAAACAATCTCATCTTGACCCACCCATCGGTGGCCGCGTTGGTTTGCGCTCAGTTCCTTTCACGAAAGGTCCTGGGTTCAAAACTCGCCCATCGGTGATTTAAGTGGGGGGCCGTGGCGGTGGGATACTGCGCTAGCCCCCCTTGAGGACTAGTCGGGCATCACTGTTGGTTTGAGCCGTAGCTCGCCGGCCGCGCGGACACCTTGATTATCCAAAAAAAAAAAAATCAATCTCATCTTGCATGCTTTCACTACGACTTGCAGGCCTTTTCTCTTCATCTTCTTCAACCTTCAGCCATAGGAGGGGTTTGAACTAGTCTCACTCTCCTCTCCCTCTCTTGGTGATTTATTTTTAGTTTTCTTGTTCTTTTCTTATTTTTTCTTCTCTCTCGATCTAGATTTGGGAGCTCTTTTCTCCCGGTCTAGTTCTAGATCTGAGAGTCTGAACTCTCCTGATCTAGTTCTAGATCTCTAAGCTATTTTCTCCCGATTTAGATCTAGGAGTTTAATAATGTTTTCGGAAATTCGATACCCCCGTGCTCTGTTCATGTACAGGCCATATGCTTCTAGTTTCAGTGGTGATCACAGGATGTAATATCCTGAAAATTCGACACATTTTGGTGATATATGAAATGGTGATTTCATCGATTGCTCTATTAGTAATTCTTGCTCTGGCCTGATCACCCAGGGAATACTAACCAAAGGGGAAAGGCTACTGAGAATTTGTTCCTAAAAGCCGCCCGTTAGTTCGAGATTTATTATAGTTGCAATTGATCGATTTCAACCACGAATTACGATCCGATTTTAGTGTTGAATTCTTAAGGATTTACAAATCGAACCACAGGATGTCGCCTCGTAATTTTTACGAATTGGCCATCGAAAATTCCAATTTCGAAAAAGGATCGAAGAATTGGAAATTCGATCCGATTTGGTGATTTTTGAAGTGAAAATTTGAGGACAAAAATTAGATAAATTTGCAAAATGAAAAGGAAAAATAAAAGAGAATGTTGAAGATATTTTGGGGGATGATCACGTGGACCACCCCCCTTCTCTCTCCTCTCTCCCCCTCTCTTTTCCCCCTTCCCCGCCGACACCCCTCCACTCCTCTGACTCTCACCCACTCCCCCTCTGACTCTCACCAATTCCCAACCATAGCCCATCATTTCTTTTCCCTTTTATTTCTTTCTTCTTCTCCTTCTTGGCCGCTGCGTCTTCTTCGTGCGTCTGCTTCTGCTCACGCCTGGCTTCTTCATTTTTGCTGCTCACCGACGCAGCAGCCTTCGCCGGACTGACCTCCGTCGCTCGTCGGCGCCGCGCACCGTCCAGCCGCCGCGCATCGCCCCAGCCGCCGTCCGCCAGCCACTTTTCCCTTCGTTCGTGCGCGCGGTAGCGAGCTCACCGCCGCTACTCGTCGTGCCCGACGCTGTCCAATCGCGCCGTGGTCGCCCTGGCCGTCGCCGCCGTTGTCCCCGCTGCCGGAACACCGCCATCAGCCGCCGTTCAGTCCTTGAACCAGCCCCGACCAGCCACTACAGGAGCTGTCTCCCTCGCCGCGCTCGTTCGCCGTCGTCCGCCGGCCGCCGAAACCGAACCGGAAGCCACCGCGGACCGCCCTTGTCGCCGCCGTCGTCCTCGCGTCGTCGCCGGCGTTAGCCGAGTAAGTTAACCCCTAATCCCGTGTTTAGGGTGTTAAACTTGCTTAGGGTAGTTTAATTTATGTTTAGATTAGTATTTTGTTTGTTTTATTGGGTTTAAGTGATAGGTTATCCGTGGTTGTGCGATAGGTTATCGCGATTGTGGTGATAAGTTATCAGTTATTTTATTGTTATTGATTATTATGTTAAATCAATTATTTTCGGAATTTAAATATTATTTTATTAGTTAATAAATTAATTCCGAATTAAATATTAATATTTTATTATTAAATAATTAATTTCCGAAAATTAAATATTATTATTTTCGGAAAATTTCTAACGTCAAATTGTGATGCCAATGTTGGATTTCGCCGTATAAGTTGGCGTATTTGGAAAACGGTTTGAATGATTTTGATTCGAGAAAGTATTTTGAATTTTGGAAAATTAAATTATTTTCGGATATTATTAATTAATTAATTCCGAATTTAATTTATTGTTATTTCGGAAAATTTTATAATTTCAAATTATGATTTCTAGCTTGAATGTTGGCGATTTTGCCGCGTATTGTCGTATTAAATTGATTTTATGGCAAATTGTTTGATCGAAAGTTTCTGTGGAAAATTTGTGAGACTTTTGGAATTAAATTATTTTATTCTGTTATGCCAAGTAATGTTAGTGATACTTTGTGGTTGATATTCATGTTTGATATCGAAGATTGAAAGAATTGATTGACTGTTTGCATGTGTGGCCACTTGGTATTATTGTATGACATCGAGGAGAGCACGATTCATGTATGCATGGGCTAATTGAGAAGATAATAATTGGCCGGAATGCTTGTGTGCTCGTGTGGTCACACGTTAAAGCCGTCTTCTTTGTGTATCGCTTGACGTTGCCCGATTTATCGGATGCCTGGGGATAATCTGGAGTGCCGATACCCCGGATGCCTTGTCGCGGCCCGAGGCCGGACTCGATGCTCCTTACGGGATACCATCTTACTGTGTATCGTTTGATGTTGCCGTATTGGAATGCCGTCATCCTGTGTATCGTTTGACGTAGCCGTGCCCGACGGGGCGGGACGGAGCCCGGTTTTTACCGGTAGACCGCCATCTTGCTGCGTATCGCTTGATGTGTGGTGGCCCCGAGGGGGCGTAATAACTGGAATACGTGTGATACATAGTGCCTGATTATGTGGTAGAAACTGCTAGGCATGGTATGGGACGTGCCCAAGTGGATTCTATCTTATAATCGGGACACGCCCGCTTGTGATGCATTGATGCATGAGTAATTGATTTAGATGCTTCGAGTTTGCGACATATGCATTTCATCAACGTGTGTACCAAGGCGAGGTAAGGATGCCTGCGGTTGTTTAATAATGTGCTGTTGATGCTGTGTTGCCTGGTTAGGGACCCCCGTGCGAGTTGGCCTCCTAAGCGGGGCTTAGGCCGTTAACTTATTGAGATTTTATCTCATTTGTTGTTGTTAAACCTTTTTCAGGACCTTAGCTTGTCGTTGCTTCTTATGCGGTGTGGAGTACCGCGGTTTTTGGTTGGTCCTTGAGGGTTAGGCCTGGAAGGCGATCTTTTGGATGGAGTAGATTAACCCTAACCTTTGTCTTTTCTGGCTTTTGTGAAAACGCCCGAGTGGGCCCTGTAAGTATTTTCCGGGGTTAATCAAGTGAATATTAAAATGGCTTTTGTTATGTCTGGTTTTCCTCTCGCTATCCCCGATTTAATTATTGTCTGGGGATTGTTGTGTTGGTTATCGTTTCCGCTTGCGTAATTCAAAGATAAAAAGAAAAGGGTCGGCGACGAGTCCTGGGTCGTCGCATCATAACGACCATAGCGGGATGTCGTGCGCCCGCGGGGTTCGGGGCGTGACACAGGAGCTCTGGCGTCTCGCTGAACTACGAAAATATGGTCATTCAAAAGTTAGATCTGTGTTTATTGAACTTGTTTTGGTTGTCTCCATATAGCGATGGTGTAGAGAAAGCCGAACTTAGGCACACATCGCCAACTGGTTATGCCATAGTTATTAGAGAAGGAATTTCCAGCTTGTACTCATCACTGTCGTTGATACGA